TGAATGATACTTATAAGATTTTGTAATTACTGTATAATTTTCAGAATTCTATAGAATGTCCCCGCACATTGCAGGACATACCCTTTTATAGTGCCTAGATTACAAAATTGTCTGTGGGTGCATGCCCCTGGAACTCCTCTAGAGGTTTGTCACGCCTAAGCCCGTAAGCCGCCTTTCATTTGCCAAGACGAAAATGTTTATTTTCTTCAGTCATGTTATTATGAAACTAAGCTGTCACAGATAGTCGTAACTGCAGGTGCTGTCAAGGCCGCCCAGAGGGGTGCAATTTGCCCTGGGACCCCAGTTAAAGGGGGGCCCAAATAAAGAATTGCAGTGAAATATACATAGATATAACTAACTGTCAACTAGACTTCCAGAATGCAGGATTTGGCCATTTCTGGGATGCCCGCGGACCAGGGAATCATAGTGTTAGAACATGGAATCACGAGAGCCCCCAAGTCAAAGTTTGTCCTGGGCCCCCAAATTTCCCTGAGTGCTGTGCAGTGTATGTTCGTTTTGGCATTTTTGAATATGAATAGTAGCCTGCTTTGTTGTTACACATTATTATAAGGGTGTGTTCAGAAATTTTCAGGTCGTGCTTCTGCTCGACTAAACTTTGCACAAAACTGTGCAGTGATAAAAAATTCTTAAAATTAGGTATGGTTGGGGATTTACGTCTGTGGTATGTGCGTAACGTAAAAATCAAAACCAAATCCGGTTAAGTTAGAGCACTTGACCTTTAAATTAATAAAGGTTAACCTGATGCATGCGATCTATGGTATTAATGAATATACACAAACGTAGTGAAACGTTGCCATTACAGATTTCCATTGCATGATTGAACCTTACGTAAAAGTTGAACTTGTTGAAATAATACTTCTGTTCCGCTTTATGGATCAATACATTCGTCTAATCACCAGACCGTCGTTGCCCGAATGACAAGACAATTTTTGCCCGAATAGATAAATTCTCAAAAATTTTGGGGGGCTGCAGCTCCCCCAGCCCCACCCTCCCGTACGCCTATGGTAATAAGGCAATGAAATTTGAAAATTTCAAATTTTAACGTTTTGAAAACCGTGAAGCTGGGAAACTGGTAACTAATATGTCATAGTAGGAAGACATTGCTTTCTCGCCTAAGTGAAAAGTATATAAATACTAAGTACTACTTGATAAGCTGGTCAAAATTCGATACAAATGTCTTCGTTGAGTTCAGATACAGAAAATAACAGTTACCAAAGCGATGACTGCCGAAAATTATATTCCTGGGCCGTATCAAATGGAGTGAAGTTGATGAAAACACCAGCGAAGCGTGGTTAACGTCGTGCGCACAAATGATCGGCGCTGCTTGATCCATATGTTAATGAACCAGTGACCGACGAAGATTGGGTCAAAAGTTACCGCGAAAAAAAGCAATCACAACGAACGTCTTGAGCAATTACAACAAAGGCTTGATAGTTCAGAAGAATTGAGTAAATGGTAAATATTTCACTCTGATTTTGTTGCGTGACTTGACCTTGTGTTGTATTCAAATTACAAACTATAATATTTCATGTGTAAACGTGGCAATTGTCACATTGAACTGCTTTGTAAATTATGCTAAAGAGTGTCAATGTTGTATGGAAATTGAGGAGTGCGTCGATTCTCTACACAGTTACATTGTGATTTGTGATGCAGGAAGCCGAAGTCGCGCCATCATGTATAATTCAACAGCTATGGCTAGATAAGTGAGCCCTCCGTTCAGCAGCCACAAAATTACGAACAAGAAAGAAACAGGAATACCGTCAAACAAGAAGATAGGTAAATAAAGTTTTATTTATCAACATATTGAAATTAAGAAACACTTTACTGTACCCGAGTTTACTATCAGTGAACACACGTATGCGGTACGGTAACTGAGAGTTTATATACGGTACATACTGTACAATTATTGAATTATTATATATTTACATGTGTTCACATGCAAGTAAGCGACTTATTAAAAAGACTTATTGCTGCCAAAGGCAGCCTCCTATTCTTGACGATGTGTTATAGCGCATTTGAATTTCCCGCCAACAGTTTTATATACTGAAGCTCATCTCGATTTTGTGTCGGCAGTTGTGACGTCATATTATGACGTTGCAGTAAGGAATTTGCATTGGAGCGTTATCATACCCCAGGAATTCAAAATAGCAAATCGATGACTGCCGAATACTTTGTTTAGCGACTGCGAACGACGTACCAAGTATGGCGTTTAAAAATATTTCGATCAGCAAGCTTTGTAGCATTTTAACACGAGGTGTCGAGGTCAGGAGCGAAGCAAAGACATACTTTGTATAAATACTGGCCTTTAATACTTCAAGTTTTGTGAGAAAGGGAGATCGTTTAGAGGTATGTCAATTTGCTCGATTTTTTCTTTTCTTCTATTGCTCAATTCACAGCGCGAATTATGTATATCATATATTTTCATACACTATATAATATATTTTCATACACTATTTATAATGAGAAATGTCTGTGTGTACTAGCCTAAAACATAGTCTGTCGTACATATTAAATATTAAAATGCACCCATGGCTATGAATGTTTAGCTCCCCGGTTAAGAGGATTTAGCTTTAAATATATTTCATTTATTAATGTAGCATATTATTCATCACGCAGAATGTTGTGTATAAATATATTCCTATTATCCTATAGCAACCCAGTGTGGATTGTTGTCTGCATATATTAACTGAGTTACCAGCAGTTACAAGGTATGATGGTCAGACTGTAAAAATATACCTCTGAGATATGTCCATTGTTAGCACAATACGAAATAATCGTACTGGCCTTCATGTATTCACCATTTCACCTGGCTGTGTCACCACCACATTTCAGGATTTTTGATAATGCACCAGTCAGTGGAATGCCCCGCACCCCTTACCTGGGGAATAGCGGGGGAATTATTGAGAGATTGAACGTTATATTCGACCATGCTACACAGCGATTTAGACTGTATTAGTTATATTATCAAGTACTGGGGACTTTGGCAAGACTTATATCGGGGATTAGACATAGCCGCCATCTTGAAAACGAAAAAGGACTGGGAATGAGCAATGAAAGCGAGCTGATAATTTTGCGAACGAACTGACAATCTCTTGTGATATTAGGTCACCGTTTTATTTTCTTGAAAGTTATTGTAAACCATTTAGATGTTCTATTTTTTTAAGCATTCAGTATGGACCATAGATATGACTTAAATTTTAAGTAAAAAGGGAAAGGCCAGTTTTTAGGGCCCCCGAACAATGAGCAAAACTAAATCGAACTGAAAAGAATCCAGAAATTAAGTACGAATAAGGTAGTATTTATCAAATAGGTCTATTTCCTTTAGACGGATATTCTTTGTAGATATTGTATGGTGGGCCCGGAGAGCAGGGACATTATTTGTGTTTAGGCAAGTGGGAGTGGCCCATATAGCGGAGAGTGAAATAGAGCAAGGTCTTGGTCTAATGTCCCGCTGTTCTCCGGGTAGGGGGGTGCGGGGTATTCCACTGACTGGTGCATAATGCTCACAATTTCTTTCTTATATAGTTTTGCAGTTCTGAGTGTGTACTATCTTAGTCTTTACAAATGAATGGTGCCATCTGAAGCTGACATATTAAACAAAAATGTCGACAAATATAGATTTTGTCTCCCATCAGCAGATTGTTCAGTTGTTCTACAATAGAGGTAGCCTTGAAGGTGCCATTAAAACAATAATTGGGAAAAAAACTGACTTAGTATTTCTATATATGAAATTGTTATTAAATTCTATGTGTCCAATGATTCATTCAAGTATTATTATTGTTTTAGGAATTTTTCTGACTTGTATTTCGTTCCAGGCACTGCCTTATACTATAGCAAATGTGGCAATGACTAAGTTATTTCATTAAGTTGCTTCAATGGATTATACTTTGTAATACATTTTATATACACCCCCGCAGTGTATCTGGTTTCATGCCACAATTTGTTACAAAATCTGCATATTGTATGGGTTTTCACTGCGGTGCAAACACAACGAGTGTATATATGTATAATTTACTGCGTCAAGTTTACTTATATGTACAATTCTACTTTCCCTGTCTAAACTAAAATACAAACAGTGCACATTGCTTGTAGACGTAAGAAATTGGCTTTCATCGGCTATATTTTGACCATATTCACTCATAGTCATAGCTATATTGTCGCAATATTTTATATTTCTGGTGAATCCATTGGCTGTGGCTCATTTATATTTATCGTGCTTTCCAGTTTCGTGACTATGACCATATCGGTTGACTGCATCGAAGCAGCTTCTAAATACAACCTGTTCAAATAACGAATTTGGAATAAAAATTGCACCAGGCCATATTCAAGTGCATGATAAACGAAATTAGAGTATAAATTATACATATACCATTCTTTTGGCTCTCGCAGACAATGGTTTGTCGTCGACAGTATTTGTATATTTTGGAATTGCAACGAAACCAATTTCGTCGGTAGCTAACCGTGGTTTTACCAGCAAGCTCTACCTTCGCAAAGTATACTGAACATTGGATCTCATATTGCTGGTTTAAGGTGCACAAAGTCAATCCGTCTCCTTTTCGCTTCGTGCTGCACGAATGCATCTCGCCTCCAGTAAAAGGTATAAAATGAAGTGAAATGCCTTACTCTGTATCTGTAACATTAGAACAACCGCCTACTACACATATATTCGGCAATTTTTTGGTTTCGTGACTTTTATTTGCGCTATTGCCTCCTCTATGATAGTACATGCAATAGTATTTCTATATTAGTGAGCTACATAAGTTCCTACTATTACGTCACATGCATTGCTTCGTCCCAGTCTCTTTTGCACGGTTTTCAGATTTTTCACAAGGCCAAATGTTTAAACGGCAATAACTTTTACACTAAAAAGCAATTTCAATTCCGTTTTCGAATTTCCGTATATTTTGTATCATAGATTTCAAAAATATAAACTCTCATTTTGTGACAGGGACACTTTAAGACGACCACTCAAAACGTACCCCAACTCAGTTTCAATTGCAACCGGCTCCTCAGGCTCCCCCCGTATGGTTCGGCCCCTCTGAAACTTCCAAATATAATCTGAACCGATCAACAAATCAATTTCAAGCTCCTCTTTGGTCCGGCATACGTCTGAAAACCAAAGGTTATGCAAATGCGAAAAGTCTTTCTTAACGACTTCAACGTGCTCGTTGCTTATTCGTGAAATCTCCGGCACGACATAAGCCTCGAGTGTCAGACTCCCACCACCGCTTACAGGAATCAGGTCGATAAGAACTACATCACGCAATCCCGATTCAGTGGTTTTCCGACCAAACGTACTTATGCTAAGCCACTCCTTCCTAAGCAATTTTAAATTATACGCGCGTGCTACGTCCGCAGTTACGAACGATTTATGACTCCCAGAGTCAAACATTACTCTTACTCTATTACTACTATTACTACCCTTAATTAGCGCTTGGGCGGTTTGGAGCACGATCCTACTGCTGCCCCCCACTAACATGCTGGCAGGTACATTAACTATATGGGTGCTCGCCTCATTCCCTACTTGCGCACCCTCCTCCTCTGATGCACTGCTTACTTCAGTTTCGCATAAAGCACTATGGTGACCCCCTTTACAGTTTTTACATTGAACAACTACTTTACAGTCACGTGCACAATGTCCTCTCTCTAAACATTTATAGCATCGAGCAAACTTACGTATCAAGTTCGTTCGTTCTCTCATATCTTTCACTCTGGCACAATCTTCATGGCGATGCTTCCCCATACAGAACGCACATCGATCTTTATCCCGACCAAGACTCCGATTCACTTGTAGTGCACTCGCGTTGTACATTCTCCTTCCATTTCCAGCAGTAGGTTTCACTTGTGGCGTCAGTCTATAGTCTTCCCGTAATTCCACCTCAGTTAACAGTGCTTGCAACAATTCTTTTATAGTCCATTTAAGGTATTCCTCCCCTCTAGTGATAGTAAGTCTCACCGAATCTGGAATCTTCCCTAATAACGTTGGTACCACAATACCAGAGTATGTATTTTCGTCGACCTTTAATGCACCTATCAATGTTTAGCCAGAGGGGGTGGGGGATTTGAATTTCAGACAAGGTTTTTTGTCAAGCATCCCATACTACACAAGTTCTACTGCTTCAAATGTGTCTAAATGCCCCTATATACTGGAAGGTTTTCTTGTTCAAATACCCGCACCAACACTCGACAATTTAAAATTTTAAAGGACATTGGCACCCAAAATTTTTATTGCCTATTTTGAAAGGGTTACATCATCTAACAATGAATATCAATAATTCTTTACCAAACTTTTTCGTTTGCGAGATATTTGCAGCTAAAGTCACCGTATCGTCCGCCATTTTGAAAATCTTTTTGAAAAAATTATCTTCGGATCACATGACCCGTGTGACGTCATTGGCTGGGTAGAATCGAAACAACAATATATTTTTGTATCGAGTTTATCGAGATTCACTAAGTTTTATAAGGAAATTGTACCCTTTTAATAATTATTATGGAAAATACCTACGATAAACAGGCAGGAGAAGTGTTACCGTACCAATTCGAGCCAGAAGTAGGGGGAGAAACAAGCAATTTAAGCGAAGAAAGCGATTCTGATCAGGGGAGTGATCTATCTTCGTCTGACGAGGAAATTGATCATGAGTTTGAGAGAGTAAATGTTTGGCGTCTTCAAACCCTTAGCTGGTGTAAATGTGGACATTGCACTATCTCAACAAAGGCTATTGAATGTTTTTGTTGCCACGAAAAGGCTTTGGAGTATGACGAATACGATGTGCTCCTTGAACAAACAGATTCGCTTGGCGAAAGGTGTTTGACGACACATACTGATTTTCAAGAAAACATGCTCTCAGAAGGCGTCCTGAAGATAGATGTGTGTCGCTATCTTGAAGAAAATTGGCCTCTTCACGATGGAGATCTTGAAAAAATACACAAACTGTATCGACTGGTGGCATATCAGCGATGTTCTCGCTGGGTATTCCAGATTTTGGGGAAAAAGAAAAGAAGACCCTTTCCCTCTTGTGTTTATTCAAAAATATGTGAACGTTTTGCGTCGCCTGATGGCCTATACACACATTTTAAATAAGCCAAAACATCAAAACGGTACGTAATCTTTTATTTTATTTTAAATAAATAACCCTTGCGGGCCTTGGTGCAGTTGCTAGCAGATAAATCACTTGTCATTCAGGTCTGTCTTGGTTTTGTAAACGTGATCAGTATTAAATATAGGCCAAGTGGCAAAAATTGTTAATTAAAAGTCAGTGCTCTGACAATATGCAGTAAACAAACCCAAATTTCCGATTTACAATACAATTTATACAATGAACAAGAAATTGCCTCATTCACGATTTATACGCTTTTCAACTTTACATTTACATTTACTGTCACAAAGCACTTCCATTCCCCTGCAGTCACACTTTCTTGTCGCACATTTGCCTTTACAAGCACAAGGCTTATATCCTGATCCTCTATCTTTGTTTGTAGGTAGGGCTGGTGTACTGAAGCGGGATTTTCTGTTGGAAACCACCTGTTCCTTCAATGGTCGCTCCTTTCCTTCCAAGTACTGTTCAACAAGTGATTGTGGTTCAGCAGGTAGCACGACATTTGCATGTACTTTGGCCTTTTTCATTGTTTGGAACTGACTTCTTAATTTAAGGACTTCATCAAATATCAACTGTATATATCCTAGGAAAGGAGAAGATTTTAAATCTCACAATTAAACTTTTTTAGATTGGCTATAGTAGGGAGTAAATTTCTGTATGACTACAAATGACTATGACTACAAATCATGAGATTGTTTGCTTGCAAGGGGTAGGGGGAAATTGTTAACTTATTTTGACAAAATATTTGTCCCACAATAGACCTTATGCATAATGACGTCACAAGGCTTGGTGCCCGTGAGGAGTGCTGGTCTCAGTAGTTATCGCCCGTGAAAATTTCGATATTGGCCATTTTGAATTGTTTAATTTTTCCGGGCGATGACTGCTAAGACCAATATTCCTCGTGGGTATTAAGCCTTGTGACGTCATTATGCATAAGGTCTATTAGGCATTGAAAAATAGATATTTCACTGGCATGATTCTACTTGTGAGACGTTTGGGGAGGGGATTCCTTACCATAAGTGGGCTTTTCCTTTATTGGTTTTGCAACTGCTTTTTCCCCTTTAAATGCCTTTGGATATGAAATTGCCCATCTTAGCTTTCCATCTGCAGTTGTTGCTTGTTTCCTGTTGCTGTTTTCATTGTAGTGCAAGTTTGAACAGTACAATCTATTAAAACATTAATATTAGTACAAAAATAATAAGCATCCCCCATATGTATATTGTTAGTGGCCTGTAACTTTAGTGATTATGTATTAAACAGGGGCTTCAATATAATATAAGACTTTTCCGCATAGTGGGTAGTTCCACAGAGATTCGTAATCCTCTTACAGAGGACATTTCTACCAGAAGGGCTAAGGGACAGAAATTTGTTTCTAATAATAATGTACAGTATTAGGATGCATCTCTAAATGTGTTAGGGGTTACCTTCTAACTTCCTTCATAGGGTGGGGGGGGGTGAGGGTGTGAATGTTTTCTGGAAAAGGTGTTATTGCGCATTATCAAGCAAGGAAACTCACCTTGCACTCAATGAATGATAGGAATGGTATGTGTTCTTTGAAGCAAATTGATTGTCCAGAGAATGTTTGGCTTCCAGACCAGATGTCTGGTGGTATTGCGATAGCTTCCTAATTGCTGTGATCAGACAAGGTCTTGTTAGCATCTCCTCCAACTTTTTATAAGAAGCTGATCCTGTAAATATAAGTTAGTATACCATTATATTCATTAGTCTTTAAGCATTTGGGCCAGATTACAGTGGGGCACAATTTTATATCATCTTCAACACTCGAAATAAATCTGGTATTTCCAAACATCCATGTATTTTTATGTTTATTATATAAAGGACAGTCTTTGAAAAGCGATTATTTTCACAGAAAAATGATCATCAAAAAGCGTTAATTTTCACATGTGAGATTATCATAAATAATCTCACGTGTGAGATTATCCGTTTTATCAGGGCTGGAAATTTCTATAAAGCGCTATACTTTATATAATAAAATAAGATAAACTTGGTAAATGATTAAATGTGGGCTTAAAGATCCTAATAAGCAACTGTACCCTGTTTGAGCCACTCTCTTTCAAGTGCTCCATGAAGACATTCAACAAAGATCTTATGGCCATCATGTTTGTGAATGTTGACAATATGATTCAGAATGCTGCGCCATTTTTCTTCTCTTTCATCTTCAGTTGAACTCGAGTCACCAACCCAATAGATATGATTAACAATTGACTGTCATGGAAATGAGAAAGAAAACAAATTGATTATAAATAAAAATGTACTAATTAATGGCTTTGACTCAAATGTACGTTTTTTAGTCATAATTGTGTATTTATTTACTTACCCCAATCCAAGGTTTAATTGACCTAAATTTCTTTTTCTTTGTAACTTTTATCAATTTCTTCTTTTCACCTTCAAAATATGAAATAAGTGTAAAAATCTTTTTATCACTAATATGAAGTAAAAAATCCTACCAACTCCACAATCAGGCAGATTGAACATGGGATTTTTTATTCTGGGATCGCAAAAACCCGGTAGTGTACACATATGCATTATTCCTATTATTGTATACCTTTTGCAACATGCCAGATATCATAAGAATGCTCAATATCTGGTTTCTCATTTGCCATGTATGATGAGACTTGAATATGACGATCCGTCACCAACTTGACCACTTGAACCTTGTTTTCCTCTAAGCATTTCAGTTGCCTCTTTAGAGATTCAAGCTCCATGGCATTAGAATTTTTTACCTCTGTTGACTGTAAAAAAGGAGTTAAGAAATTGCTATAGTCATTATGCTTATAGAGACAAAACCCAGTTTTAGATGTATAGTGTCTAACCTGGTAGAAATCAACTGAGATCAACAATTTAGGTTGTTTGCGTACGCAGAGCATACTGAATCATTTGAATAAAATGTCTTTTTATCATAATATAGTATTTATTTCATTATAAATTTGCATGTTCTATATATTTCTTACCTTTATTACTTGGGTATCCAATATAACATTCTTTTTCATTTCCAGTGTGCTTCCCGAGCCAAATAGACCACTATGACCAGGACTATCAACACGCATATCCGACGCGATTATAATGGGTTCATCCTCAATCTCTCTTAGTCTCACAGATTGGTCCACTTGCCAAACTTTGTAAACTGCGGGAACAACATAATTCTTCAAGATCTTGGACAATTGTCGTCTCTTAACATTTGGTATATTTAACACATTAAATAGTCGCAGAACTTTTGCTGATTCCATTCCTGTCGCGAGAATACCAGATGCTAACAGTAGATGAAATGCAGGCATTTTGAACAAAGAAGGGCCAGTTGTCCATTCAAAATAATGTTCGTTTTGAGCCGTGCACGAGGAGCAAATTTTGCATGATGACCCAATTTGGTTTTCAATTGACACAACACAATCAGAACCACACTGACCGCATTTACCAAAAACATCAAGAATAGCTTGTTCAAAAATAATTAATTTGATCTGGTCTTGTGGGGGTTTCCCCACTCTTAGAACTGTTCGTTTATCTGGTTCATCGTCCTCACTGCTTTCGTCGCTTGCAGTGGTTGACTCCTCGAAGTCATCTTGAGTTACGGACTCCTCGCTTGAACAGCTGCAAATGCTTTCCACGTCAACTTCTGTTTTTGAAGGTTCACATGTTGGCTCTGCCGTGTCGACACGACCATGCCCATGGTATTCGTGAGGATCTACCGGTTGGACTTTTGAGGTAGACGGATATCCCACCGCGGACTTTGTTTCAAAATACGATGATGTTGATGCCTTTAGACTTTGAGTCTGTGTTCTTACTGATCTTGTCCCTCGTTTCTTGGTTGTTTGTGTCGACCTTTCCCTGGTGTTAGAAGAAAACATTTCGGTCGATGTACTTGGTTCCGAGCATAGTTCATTTGATAGGTTTGGCATTTCATCTATAAATGACTCTAATTGTTCAGTCGTTCGCGCGCATTCGGATTCTTCTCTTGGGCAGTCTTTCTTTGGTGATTCGCTGGGATTTAGAAGTTCAGTGAGTCCCTAGAAACGTAGGTTAATATTTATAATACACGCTAATAAATATCTGCAGCATGTGACTGACTATAGCACTAATTTTGGATCGAGAATTACCTTTATTCTTTGCCTTTTCTCGGTATGAATCCTCCTTTTACTTGTGCTCGTATCAAGCAATGGTTTATTCAACGTTGGCAAGGCATCACTCTTCAATCGCATTCGAAACGTTTCGTCACACCCAACTCGCGCCAGAAACCGTGGCGAATGTCCTGGTTCGTACGCATCTTCGGCAAAATGAAGTGAGCAAATTCTACTGTTTGACAATGGATTAAAAGCTTTGCGTTTGCAGAATTCAACCCATGCCTTTCGTCGATTTTGCTGGGATACGGATATTCCACTTGGAAACCGAAAGAAATTTGTCCAACTCGGTTTTTTTTTTAAGTCACTATTACAACCGTATACCGGGCAGTACATGTTTTCACCTTCGGCAAGCTCGTATTTAAAGCGCTGCATGGCAACCTCAGCGCTTTAAATACATGCAGCAAAAAATTGTGGTTTCCTTATTAAGCCATACCGAAAATAGTTGGAAATTTCTTCAAGGGTGTATCCGGACAAATGAAGATAAACGTCAGAAATATGCAGCCACAATCTGCCTATAATTTCCTCTATAATGCGCTTTTGGTTTTGCCTCGCCTACCACAACACATATTGCTAAATGATTTTCAAAGTTGCTGGTGGCTCGAATTTCGATAACGCAATTTGGGTATAAACTGAATATATACGTAATATTAAATATTGTCTCCCTTATGCGATGATTTTAATAGAAACACGTAAATAATGTTTTTTACTGACGAGCAAGTATTTCTGCTTTACAAAATATATTATATCGCTTTTGATCAAAGTTATTTGATATACAAGACGTGTATGTAGCATAAAAATACTGCGTAGCTGTCCAAAATCTAAGCGCAATAAACAGCTAAAGTATGCGTTTATTGCAAATATTGTTGAAACATATCCGCAGAATATTGATACATGTTAATTACATCATTATTTAAATGTATTTGTTCTCTATCTTTCATTTTTTCAACGAAATACTCTTACAACTTTGGTAAATACAATATGAGTTTATATTGTCAAGTTTAGCTTTACCCAGCCAATGACGTCACCAAATATATTTATGCATAAATTAGCATACACGGTATTTTCAAAATGGCGGCTAATCTTCAAGTTTGTAACGAATTTTCTCTACAACTAAGTGCGATAGAAAAACGAAAATACGAAATTAAGTATTCCGTGGGGAAGCTTAATAGATATAGGCAATAAAAATTTTGGGTGCCATTGTCCTTTAAGTTTTTAAGTTTACATGTAACATGTTCAAAGGTATTATATAGAAATCTTTATTAATATAAACAAATACTACCATGTCGACATGTATTTGCCTTAAGAGCTAAGCTTGGAATGGACAAGTATTTCGAGGGTATGGTAGATTGTCGATGGCGTATAGATTTTTACAGGTAGGTTATTAGGGGTGGGGGTAAGAAGCATTACTATACGAAATTCGTTATATGTGAAATCAATAATTTATGTTTTATTAATTATAAGACTACCATAACCAACAATACAAGTGAGCAACCAGCACGTATTGTTGCTAAAAATCCCCGTACAGCAGTTCTTGTATTTTTCGCAAAAATACAAGTGTGCTTTTATAGCTTGCTACTATGGCCAGTGAGGTATCAATGGAAAGATATAAGCAACGACTTCAGGTAGTCGAGGACCTGTATATGAGTTTGTATGCATTTCATTTAGGACAGATAATCTCAACTGTTTTAGGGCAAGTTGACCATGACGGTCAACATGGTAACGCTGCCCGAACCCCAATCCGGGACGAAACGTCTGAAACTGACCACACCCAAAAACGACGCTTTCGCCATACTGCTATCTACCAAACCATAAAAGCTTTGGCTATTCTGAGGTGCTTATATGGTTCAGAGATGGTACTTTTGGGGTGGTCATTGGTAAGTGTGAAATGCCTAGCACTAATATTTCACAAGAAAATGACCATGCAATAATCATAGTTAAACGTCAATTTGTGGCTTGCAACTTCAGATAAACAGCAGTGGACTTACATTACCTTTTTCCCTAAATCTTTTTGATAGAAACATAATTGGTACTTATTTAAATATATTATCACTGATTTGGTGTAAAATAGTTAATATTTTCTGACCGAAATAATAATTTGAAATGTGCCTACCTCCTGCAAATGGACGTATTTGGCCAAGTTCTCCACTTTACTCCGCTGTTTATCGGCGATCTCGTCGACATCCTACAAAAAATGTAAATCATCTCAGACATAATGGTATCAAGAACATTTTAAACAAGTTTCAACTTGGTTTCAAGTAGATCATACCTGTTTAACCATCGACAAGGTAAATCCACAACTTTGTCCAAATTCGGCGCCATTTTGTCATCCCATGTCGGTTGTCAACAATTCGGCCTTGTTACTCTTCCATTCACGCCATATCCATTGCACCAATAACAAATTTAACCCTTTGTTAAGGGTATTAAAATAAAAATACAAATGAAATATGCGAAATGCAGCATTTTATCACCCGGTAAAATGTTGCTTACGAGTCCTTCAAAACATTTCGTACAAATCTCGCGTGGTTTAGCAACAGGGACGTGACAGGGGGGGTAGAGACTTGAAAAATGAAAGCAAAGCCCCACACAGTATCGTAAAACCATTAAACCAACAATCAGCATTTAATTTGTATGACTTGCTCATATTAATAAATAATAATATGTATATATTTGTCGCTACAAGAAATAAAACAAACGTTTGTATGATTGTCTTTAGCTTTTAGTCTATTTCACGCAGCCTTCTTCTATCTTCGTGAAATAATTCACCCCCCCCCCTGTCACGTCCCTGTTACTTTGTCACGCGAGATTTGTACGGAATGTTTTGAAAGACTCGTGAGCAAGATCTTACAGGGTGATAAAATGCTGCATTTCGCATATTTCATTTGTATTTTTATTTCAATACCCTTAACAAAGGGTTAAATTTGTTATTTGTGCAATGGAAATGGCTTGGATGGAAGAGTAACAAGGCTGAATTGTTAACAAGCGACATGGGATGACAAAATGGCGCCGAATTTGGACAAAGTTGTGGATTTCCCTTGTCGATGGTTAAACAGGTATGATCTACTTGAAACCAAGTTGAAACTTGTTTAAAATGTTCTTGATACCATTATGTCTGAGATGATTTACATTTTTTGTAGGATGTCGACGAGATCGCCGATAAACAGCGGAGTAAAGTGGAGAACTTGGCCAAATACGTCCATTTGCAGGAGGTAGTAGGCACAATTCAAATTATTATTTCGGTCAGAAAATATTAACTATTTTACACCAAATCAGTGATAATATATTTAAATAAGTACCAATTATGTTTCTATCAAAAAGATTTAGGGAAAAAGGTAATGTAAGTCCACTGCTGTTTACCTGAAGTTGCAAGCCACAAATTGACGTTTAACTATGATTATTGCATGGTCATTTTCTTGTGAAATATTAGTGCTAGGCATTTCACACTAACCAATGACCACCCCAAAAGTACCATCTCTGAACCATATAAGCACCTCAGAATAGCCAAAGCTTTTATGGTTTGGTAGATAGCAGTATGGCGAAAGCGTCGTTTTTGGGTGTGGTCAGTTTCGGACGTTTCGTCCCGGATTGGGGTTCGGGCAGCGTTACCATGTTGACCGTCATGGTCAACTTGCCCTAAAACAGTTGAGATTATCTGTCCTAAATGAAATGCATACAAACTCATATACAGGTCCTAGACTAAGGTGCTGCGTTACCTTGTGGGCATGTGGGAAAAAGATAAAGATGCTCCTGTCATCAACATTGTAGAAGAGGTAACTATTACATCTATAAATAGGTTACGATGACAGTACTGTATTATATTTTTATGTATGGTATTAAAAAAATGTGCAGGTACAACAGAAAGATGCATCAAACATGCAGGATACAGAAGTTCCGTCCCTACAAGATTGTCTCCCATCCTCCCAAAAACAAACAGTAGCACAACAGTCAACAGGAGATGAAGTCTCGGAGGTATTAACTACATCGTTTCAATGAAACGTGTATATGTGTAAACAAAGAGTCAGTATGCAAGGCTCAGAAGGAGTGTTCTGATTGGCTGCTTAATTAAAATTTAAAATTCAATTTTTCAAAACGTTAATTTTTGAACTATTAAAAAATAAACGTTGTTTAGGCCGAGAAAATAATATTTCACGCTTCTCTCTTATGCAACCGTGGTTGCAACCGGCGCAGCCGTCGCAATGGTCGCGAAAGACGCCTTAATATACTTGTATATATTTAATACAGAGTGTGGTTGCAACCGGCGCAGCCGTCGCAATGGTCGCGAAAGATGCCTTAATATACTTGTATATATTTAATACAGAGTGTGGTTGCAACCGTCGCAGCCGTCGCAATGGTCGCGAAAAACGCCTTAATATACTTGTATATATTTAATACAGAGTGTGGTTGCAACCGGCGCAGCCGTCGCAATTGTCGCGAAAGACGCCTTTATATATACGTGTACATGGAAATAATACTGAGTGTTTTTACGAATCGAACAATTTGTTATAGCATGCAGCTGGACTATAAATGGAAAAGATAACCTTGCTGAGGCTTCATGGTATAGATATAAATTGTAGATAGCAAAAAAACACTACAAAAACGGTTAAATTGATACAATAGGCCTATCTAAAGATTATTGTCAATTAATATTGACAGTATTGTTATATTACTATTATACTTTATTAATTCTCCCAGTGAGCTTTTCAGAATTAACTTTCAGATAAAAAATCTGAAAGTTAACATGCATCAATTGCAATGTGTATTATTAAGAGCAACGCATGAAGCTAGAAAACTCAACGTTAACTATAATTAAAGAATCTAAATAGTATCAGCTATTGAAAAAAAATGCTGCGAAAGAAAGTGTGGCAAAAAAAATTCGTACATGGTGATGGGATAAAAAAAATCTTGCACATAACGATCCCAGAAAAAAATTTCCTGCCAGCAGTAAATTACCCCCCCCCCCCACCCCTCAAAAATTAAATGGTCGGCCCCTAAATCAGTATAGCTATTTCGTACGTTATAGTTCGCTTGCATTAAGCTAAAAAATCAGTGACTCTTTCAAGTTAGGAGCAGTATAATCGTTTAGAATTTTATACAGAAGAATGGACTTCATGTTCTGTCTTCTACTTTTTAAAGTTCCCCAACCAAGAGTTTCAAGAACAACAGTTTCATGACTTGCGCCAGCAATTATTATTGCCGCACGATTTTGAAATTTCTAAAGTTTATCAAGCAGTTGTGTGCCACAAATGTCCCATAGTGGAGAACAGTAATCAAAATAAGGCTGAATCATGGCATTGTAAATCATTTGTAGTGAGCTTATTGGAATGGAATTTTTGCTAGATCCAACTTTTTTCAAGTATCCTATCCATCTGTTTATCCAATTTTAAGTTTTAATCTAGTAATACGCCCAGACATTCGAAAGAGCTAGTTCTACAAAAAGGTTTGTTGTGTAAGAACACAGGATAGTCGAGTGACCTTTATTAGTTAGATTATATGACGATCCTTTATTATCATGTACTTAGTTTTAGTAAGATGGTGCTGCAGTTTGGTTACTGGCTAGCCAATCACTGATTTGTTTTAGGTCAGAATTTAATCCATAACATAATTAAATAGAGCATAGTCAAATCAGGGGCGTACCGAGCGGGGGTGTTGGGTGTTGGGGTTCAATGTTGGGTGTGTGAAACCCCCAATTTTTTGAAAATCGTCGATAAAGTTTGAAAATGGTCTGTAAATTGATACGATCGTTGGTAAATATATCAACTTTACCGTTCTGTTCGCACTCGCGAAATTTTTAAGACGCAGTTGTCACTACATGGTTCTAACCCCCCCCCCCCGCTTGCCAGGATTTTAAGGGAAAACATTTTCGTCGGTAAGTTTAGGGAAACACTCCCCCCCCCCCGAGCCTAATGGCCTCGGTACGCCCCTGAGTCAAATCCAATAATGAGGTAGAAATGGGTAGCGATTTCTCTGATAAAATGAATTGTCTTCCCAATCAGCGTGGATTCAAAATGGCTTTTGTATATATAGTAAGCTTGCTTAATATAGTAAGCTTGCCAACTGAACAAATTTGATGAAATTCACCTTAACTATGTCAAACTAATTACTCGATATAATGCCATTTAGTGAGACCAGACTTAATTCGACAATAATTGATGGTATGATTCATATAGATGGGTATGATATTATAAGAAAAGATAGGTCTAGAAATGGTGGTGCACGTGGTGTTTGCATTTACCTACGTAGTTCTATAAACTATCAAGTCAGACAAGATCTTTCACCAGCCGATCTAGAAGCTAGATGCATAGAGATAACTAAACACATAGCAGACCATTCAAGGCATTTTTTAATACCATGGACTGGTGGGGCATTTGCCCCAATGAGCACCTTCCTCTGCCCCACCGCTGAAGAAAAAAAAAGGGCCTATTGCCCCAAAAGTCAGTACCCTAAGACCTGTATTGAGTAAACGAGTTTAACATTGAAAAGAAGTTTATGTTGTGTTTGAATGTTTAGCATGCAATTTATTACAAACTTCACCATTAAAACTTTGTTATGAGAATCTGAGATTTTTTTCAAATGTGTTTAAATGCAGGAAAACTCGTGCCTGCGGTACTCGGCTCACACCTTCGACGATGCAATTTTTTTACTCTGAGTGTGCATCCACACCGGTCAAGCTGAAAGTTTGCCTGACCATGGTCAGAATTGTCTATGCTCAGAGTAACATCACAAACAAGATATTACTAGTGGACGGGTATTCTGACGTTTTTGAGTATTTTCGGAACCAGAAAAACAAGTTTGTAGATTTGCTATAGCATCGCGAAGCAAATCGTCCATCTTTCTACACATAGTCGCAGACGAACAACGTGGAGTAATGGTTATATATAGTGTACCAGTGGGTTACCCGGGGTACGAAGGGATCGATGGACAATGCGCGGAGGCTTGGACGCGGATCAATGATGCGTCCGACTATCAATAAGGAGTCTACCGAAAAAAGTTATTTGTTATTTTGCTTCGGCGATCGCATGCTATATCCGCAAGGAAATTGAGCTCTTTGGCAGTTTTGCCCCACGACTGAAGAATCCTTAAAAAATGCAATGAGACCATTTGCGGTTGTTACAGTTTCATCAAATTTTTTTATCCATCATGAAAACCTATTAAAAAAGACTGATAACGAAAACAAGGAAATCTATATACTGGGCGATCTCAACTGCGACATATTTAAGTCCATTCCTGACCATCCAACTAAAACACTTAAATGTTTATTCGAAATTTATCAATTATCCCAGATAATTGATTTTATTATCAATATGAACCAGGAAAAATATCCAAATGTGGTGTAATACATACTCGAATTAGTGACCACAGTCTCATTTATGGCAAAAGAAAGATTAACATACGACATAAAAATAATTATAACAATTGAAATTTGAAATAAAAAAAAATTCAATGAACAGAAGTTTTTGCAAGACCCAGGAACTCAAACATGGGGGTTGTTTACCATTTACATGGAAATTCCGGTGATTCCATACGGAAAGTAAATGGAACAAGCATATTTCGACGGCCCAACCGGAACTTTTCCAGAATAAACGGTTTGTTTGAAAAGGTTGTCCTCTCTTACCGATTGGAAAGTTTCAACCGGTAAATGTTGTTCCATTTACATTTTTTAAATTTTTTCACCAGTTCCAGGCTTTTCGCGATTTAACAATTGAAATTATTAAATGGAAAGCGAATAATCCGAAGGGGATTTTCTACCTGAAAGTTTGCTTACCATTAGCACAATTTCAAACCGGATGGGTTTTACATGTAAATGGTAAACAACCGGGAACATGTCCATTTTTTGCAAACAATCCTGACACTATGTGTGAAATTTGGAAACAACTTTTCGTACAAGTCCTATAGATAAACATGCCCCGGCCAATTCAAACCAAAAAGAACAAAATCTAAAAAAATCCTTGGTTTACTAGTCATATAAAAAATAAGAATTGCAAGAGATAATTTGAAAAGAAAAGAGATTATCACTAAACTTGAAACAGATTGGATAACTATAAAAAAAGCCAGAAATAAAACCATGAACAATCGTCTAAGACACTGAACCAAAAAGGAATATTATTCCAATAAAATATCTATACTGAAAAACAAGATCCAAGAGCTGCTTGGAAGACAGTTAATACCTTACTTGATAAACAGAATCAAAGAACTAAAGTAAACGAATTAAACTTAAATAGTATAACATTAACAAGCCCTGATGAAATTTCTGAGGGCTTCAATACCTTCTTTTCAAATGTTGGACCAAATTTAGCTGATGAAACATTGGTACACCCGAATGTCATTTTAAAGACTACCTTGACAAAACTAATTCTGAATTTGCTGCATTCCAGTCAGTTACTGTAAGTTATGTTTGTCTTTTATTACGTGAACTGTCTAGTGGTAGCAAAGCTACTGGCCTGGTTAAAATATCTAGCAAGATAATTAAAATTGCTGCACCATTAATTTCCGATTCACTGACTTACATATTTAATCAAGCAATAACTTTATGTATTTTTCCACATGAATGGAAGATTGCAACTAGATTAATTCCTTTTTAGTGTGAAGTTTCTTCGAAACTTCACAGTATTGTGATGGTGGGGAAAATTCAAACGAAACAGTCAGTCAGTCATACAGTAAACTTTCCGGGGGGCGTGTACGATGTATGTTCGTAGTGATTTATTGTGCTTAGTCAGTACTTTGAAGGTTATTTAGGCAATTTCAGTTAACTTATTTACATATTCTGTTATCTTTTTGCCAAGTTCACAAAAATTTTGAGCAATCGCTTTCGTTATTGTAATTCTTTGTAAATTTTAGAACATTCGCTTCTCATGTTGTGTAAAGGATCTTTACCCCGGAACACCCGATTTTTCTTTAGTAGCGCAAATGCGCATGCGCTATCAAGCCGTAGATCACGATGGCGTGACGATATGCTAGGAAGGAGGTGACAGTGTTGTTTTCAGATGTATAAACATTTCAGACGTGAATATTGAGTAAATCTTTGAGGATCTACGCAATATATAAATTGATCTTATGCATTACGGCCGTTCAATTAATAAGTGTCGATAATATTTAGACGGTATATTCATTATACAGAGCTAGGAAGGAGCTAGACCGCCTAGGCAATGCATTTAAGACTCAAGTGTATAAACATTTCAGACGTAAATATTGAGCTGAAAATCTTTGAGATTCTAGGCATTCAATTGAGTGCTGATATTATTTTCACGCTATACTCGTTATACAGGGGTACAGTATGTACGAAGAAGCGAGACAGTGTTGTTTTTCAAATATATAAACATTTCAGACATGAATATTGAGAAAATCTTTGAGATTCTACGCAGTAATATGATATATAAATTGATGAGTATGGCTACCGGCGTTCAATTAAGTGCCCATCGATAGACGAACGGTTTATGAAGAAAATATTGCGAGACGAAGGAAATCAGTTGAGTCAGAGCTCCTTATTTTAATAAGAAAGACAAGGAGGTAGCCAATATGTTATCGCCAACGTGTTATCGCCAATCGCTTGGCTCACCAACAAGCTTTATGCAATGGAAGAAAAAAGCAAGGAGGTACATGTAGCCAACGTGTACTGTCGCGGACCTTGTTTACTGTCTAGCACAACGCCATTGTCAACGGTGCAAATTCGTGTTCAGTACAACGTTAACTCTACCAGATCTTACGAGAATTAATCTGTAGTATTCTGTACACAGAACTGTATCAAAGCTTGTCAAAACTGCTTTAAACACTGCTATAACTGTGAAACTATTGAAATCTAAAGTGACATTCAAAACATGCGAAAAGCTAAAAATAGACACAACGTGACACTGGGAAAAGTCAAAGGTCAATGCGGACTTGTTATTGTAAAACATGTCACAATTAGGTTAAAATGCGGAAGCAGATGGAGCGGACCACAGAACGGAAATGCGAAAAAAATACGGAACGGATGAAGATAAAATTCTTCCTTTCAATGATGTAACGACGTAGTGCTTATTATTTATAACATATCGTATACATCTATTTCAATTATAAGTTTGCAGTAGCCTTGTGCGGATGCTTTTAGCGAGAGCTGCAATTGAAATTTCGAATTGTCGCGTGCAGCATCACAATAAATAGGTAAATTGTATCAGTTTCGCAAAGCACATTTCTGATGTGTTATATTTAGGCTTGTTTCAAACGTCACGCTACTCGTGTGTCGAGCGCATTAAAAGCAATATATGAGATGAAATGCCGTTGGTGATTGTTTATTTCGTAGTGTAAGACATCAGCTTTTCTAGGTTGTCAGCGACCCTATATAGTTCTTGCAGAATCATTTTCAATTTGAAACTTCACACTGTCCTTGGATCCCTAGTTTAAGAATGGCAAACGAAACTTGCCAGGAAATTATCGACCAATTTCTGTGTTGTCAGCCATTAGTAAAATTATGGAACGTATCCTAGCCATTAGTAAAATTATCGGGAACGTATCGTATATACTCAACTAATTTGAGCGCAACTAATTTTGAGCGCTTCTGAGCATCAATTTGGTTTCAGACTTTGGTTTCTTCTGAGCATCAGTTTCGTTCAACTGTACCAGCTTTACTTGATTGCACAAATTATTGGTACCGTTATAAACATGGATAGAAAACTTTTTAATTTGGTTGTATTTGTAGACCTAAAAAAGCCTTTGATACTGATGACCATGCATGAAATTTTATTGCAAAAACTAAAACTATAGTTGGAATCACAGGAAGTGCATTTCTACTACTCAAATTATACTTAACTGGTCGTACTCAAAGATGTGAAGTCAATGGATCTATTTCAGGGGAAAATGATGCCAAATGTGGTGTACTCCAGGGGTATATATTAAGACCACTATTCTTCTTACTCTATACATTAATGACCTACCCGCATGTCTGAGTAAAAAAATCGCGGTTGTTTGCATGCTGATACAAATATCACAGCAGCTGGAGAATGCTTAAGTGACCTTGAAGATGCAGTGAATTCAGATTTAGAAATGCTTTGTAAATGGCTCATGGCAATTTTTGACAGCGCACATATCTAATTGACTTTGTGTAATTTAGGGAGCATTAATTTTTTAGCTGGGGGGGGGGGGGGGGGAGGGTGGGCCTGAGGAACTGATGTCTAATTCCATGCGAAAACTTGGAACCCCCAAGAGAAAAGTTGATAAAAAATTATGACCCCCTATTTTTTTACTGAAAATTTTTTGACCCCTCATCCTAACTATTAATCCACACGGTGTCGTTTCCATAGTGTTTCAGGGCCGTAGGAAGCTCTTTTTTATTGGGGCTGAAAGCGAGGGCAGAAGGCCCGAGAAAATTTTTAAATCTAGAGTCTCTAAAACGCCATTTCCTGGCCTTTGGGGGAAGATTTGACGGCAGAATTCTGATGGTCAGAAAACAGCGTTTTAGTATGTCAAAATTGACAATTTGGTAGTACTAAATGGGCGAAGGCGTATTTAATTTACTATATGTTGGATAACTAGGATAAGTTGCAGGAAACTGTGGGTACTATCTTCATTCTTTGCAGTTTATCATGGATAATGTAGCCGCTTAAAATTAATAAAGCTTAAAATTGATCAAGTTCTGCATGATTTTGAAGTCATGCAGACCTTGAAATCATGCATGATTTTGAAATCATGCTACGGTCCTGTTTTCTTTCATTCATGTTTTCACACAAAAACGGATAAAAACGAGGTCAATTGACGAACGTCATGGAAATGTTTTCCTATGGACTGTGTGAACAGAGCGTCAAATGAATTTTGCTTCATTGTTATAGATGACGAGATAGTTGATAGATTCTAGACCTTTTTACCATTCTTCATCCAAATATTTGCAAATTCAATAAAATCATATTGGTGATTTTTTCACTGATTATTTTTATGACCCCCTCCATTTATAACAAAACTATAAAAAGACCCACCCCTTTGAAGCATGTCAAAATTGGTTGACCCACCCCCAAATTCCTCCGCCCCCCCCCCCAGCTAAAAAATGAATGCTCCCTTATCAGATTTAATTACGATGACGCCTGCCACATGCATAGTCAATTTTGAGACGGATTCTCGCTTGTTTATAGGCTTGCACAACCTACGAGTAAGTAACCATTTGAAAGAGCACATATTTTTCTACAATATATGAAATTTTAAGAAAATCTTATGGAAGAGCGCGCAAGATTTTTATATTTTAACAGACAGTTGTTCAAAGCCCATATAATTGGGTTAATATGACGCGCGAAGGGCAGTCCTGTTTGAGTGGGATTTTCGTTCATTTTCAGGCTTGCACCACTTTAATACGTGTATGTAACCATTTGAAGGAACATATAATTTTATACAATACATTAAAGTTTAAAAAAATTGCATAGAATAGAGGGCAAGTTATGGATGGTTAAACAGGCAATTTTTGACGCACACATATATAAATGACTTTGTGTATATATCAGATTTAATTACGATGACGCCTGCCACATAGTCCATTTTGAGACGGATTCTCGCTTGTTTATAGGCTTGCACAACCACAACCTACGAGTAAGTAACCATTTAAAAGAGCATATATTTTTATACAATATATGAAATTTAAGAAAATCCTATAGAATAGCGGGCGCAAAATCTACAAATTAACCGGAAGTTCCTCGCAACGCATATATTAAATGGCTTAGTATATATAAGACACGCGGTAATACAGCCGGTCCAATTTGAATGGGATTTTCGTTCATTTTAAGGCCTGCGCAACCTACGAGTAAGTAACCTTTTGAAAGAGCATGTAATTCTATACAATATATGAAATTTTAAGAAAATCCTATAGAATAGCGGGCGCAAAATCTACAACTGAATTAGCCTAACAGGAAGTTCTTCGCAACACATATAAATGGCTTATAATAGTATATAAGACACGCGGTAATACAGTCCAATTTGAGTGAGATTTTCGTTCATTTTAAGGCTTGCGCAACCTACGAGTAAGTAACCTTTTGAAAGAGCATATAATTTTATACAATATATGACATTTTAAGAACATCCTATAGAAGAGCGGGCAAGATTTTTACATTTTAACAGACAGTTGTTTAAAGCTCATATAATTGGCTTAATATGACGTGATAGAATGTCCAATCTTTCTCGGCGACGCTCGCGACCGTCAATTAAGAACTAGCCAATAGAAAGGCGCGTTCCGAAGGGTGAAGATTTACTGTAAACAAACTGTGATTTCATGTTAAGATGACTAGCATTTACTACAGCAGACAGATGCAACCTACCCTATCACTGATATGCCATTGATAGTAATAGTGTAATAACTATATTTTCATACAAAACTTGCAGATACGGCAAGAAGACAATGCATCAAATATGTAACAGACAGATGTCAGGCAAGCATGTGAACATCCACCTTCACAAGAACTAGAATCACAACTACCTGTCTCACAGCAGCAGCCACCACAAATTAAAGTATCGGGGGTATGTTTCCAAAATATATTATGTGTCTCTATAACCTTTGTTCTGATGTTATAGAAAGATCTCTTGTAACAATGCCATTGCATGACAATTTATTTTTATGCAGAAAAAAGAGTTGGGACTTTGTGATGTAAAGATGCCTGCAAACATGAAAGTCAGAGGAAGACCAAAAAGCATTGGCCAAACAGCGATAGGGGTTCCAAAGAAGAGGAAAAGCAAAGATGCCAATCTCCCTACGCCATATACCAAAAAATGTCGTGAGGATAAAACCAGATGTAAGCAATTAATCACGAGTCTCCAGTTTAGACTCTTTATTCTATTCAGTCATGCACTGTACCATACCTTATGATTTTACCCCGTCTAATGTACCTTTGTAAATAGGTTAAATTACAACATGATCGACTTCTTTTTTTAGTAATTCTACATTGGTTTATTGATAACAGAAAAAGAGCTGAAAGCAAACAAGGATATATCATTTGCATGTTTAGATGAAAACATCGACATAGCTAGAATTAAACCATATTTTACAGCTGTTGGTTGGTCTGCAGTTCTTAAATCTGTTAAAGAATTAAAAAAACAAACCATGTTTTGCTTTACCTGCAAAAAAGAATTAGAAGGAGACCAGTTGAGTTGTGATTCGTGCCTAGAATGGATGCATTTGCACTGTGCTGGGCTAAAGAAAGTCCCAAAAGCGAGGAAATGGTTTTGTAATAACTGGTATATGAATGTATAATTAAAGTTTCTAATATTTATTGTCCTAGCTGTTCCATATGGAACCGAGTTACAGTACAAGTTGACTTTTGGGCCTCTGATCTTAATGCCTTAATACAGTAATTACTGCTAATAGTTAAACCCTATCTGCAAAAATAGCATGATCCCAATACTTGAGGTTGATGAAAATTGCCTAAGCCTCCACCCCATGGGGCATAATAAAAGGTCTAAAGCCCCATTATCCACCCCCTTACCACCTATGCCTATGTTTTTTTGTGTGTGTGTGTGTGTGTATGTGTGTGTGTGTGTTCTGATGACAAGTGCATTCATTCATGAGATTTAATTTACTATTTAATGCAGTAGATACCTTGTTAATTGGATGGTTGTGGGATGCTTCCATTTTTACCACCACCAGGCTTTGCCCGTCCTTAGACGCACGAATTTGAATAAAAGAACCACAATTCTCTCTAAACGAACTAGACACGAAAACGTCGGTTATTAGGTGAAACTAGAGCAAATAAATCCACCTCAAAAAAGTAAATGAATTCACCTTTGGTTGGGTGTTTGACTGGTAGCTTTGGAAAACCGGAAATTTGGGTCTGCTAAACTGCGAAGCTAATCGTGTACCGTGACGTATGCACTTACATGAAAATAAGTAACGCATGTTGATTGGTTTAATAGGCAATTCTACCTAAGCCGCGCCATCATTGGTTTAAATTCTGAATTAATTTTATAATGTATGCTATGATTATATTATTCAATATACAACATGGCGGCGTCTAGTGACAAGCTTTCTTTTCCAATCGATCGTTGGAATGACGCTCTTAAAAGTGTTTGTTCGACAATTAATTTCAAAGAGCTATACCCTGAACAAAAGGAGGCTTTGGAAAACTACTTTAAGGGCCACCATGTGTATGTAAACCTACTCCCTAAATCGGCGACCGAAAGGTACAAGTATGATCGTTATCATTTCGCCTTTAAAGTCGTTAATGGAGGAGCAAGTAGCCTACCTAAACAGTTTGGGTATAGCGGCTGTTTGTATCACTGATGAAGCCAACGATCATGCAATGCAAGATGTGATACAAGGCAAATATTCACACGTTTATGCTTCACCAGAGTGTATTCTGGCAACAACCAAGTGGAGATATATATTTGCTTCCAAACTATTTTTGGAAAATCTATCCGGAGTGGCAAATGACGAAGCCCATTGTATCAGCCAGTGGTAAGTAAAACTTAGCCTGTACCTATTAATGAAATCTCAAATTTAACATATTAATTTCTGAAGGTTGACAAAGCATACAATGATATATACTAGTGATTGCCTGATTGGTGTAATTTTGTTATATACTTTTCACAAATATTGTTAAGTTGTTTTCTCAACTATTCAGGGGAATGTCATCATATGGGCGAAGAAAAGAAAGCATTCCATTCAGAAAATGGTATGGTAACCTCTGTGAATTGGTGTCTCTGGTTCCATCAAATGTAAACTTTCTCATTTTTACAGCCACCGCCACACAGTCGACAACAGATTGCATTCTTGATAGTCTGCATATACCAGTGAAGAAAGTGTATACTGTGAAAAGAAGTCCGAACCGTAATAATTTACGATACAGTTTACAGTACATTGATAACAATATGCCACTTGAGATGGTTTTTCGAGGAATAATCAATGAAGTGTTTCAGAAAGGAGCTACTACTGAACGGACAATCATCTATTGCCAAACCTGAAAGCATTGTGGATTAATATTTCGATTATTTGAAATTCATCTGCGGAACAACCTATACAATGGTATTAACAGACCCCAGAACAGAGTTGTTGAAATGTACCATGCCGGTACACCTGACCAAGTGAAAAAGCATGTGATTGAAAATCTAAGCAAAGAAACTGGACATATTCGTGTACTAATATCAACCATTGCATTTGGCATGGGTGTTGATTGTAAAAGTGTTCGGGCCGTCAAAGAACTTGGAAAGCTACGTCCAGGCCGGGATGGCAAGCCAAACAGTTGTATAATTATGTACAATGGTTTGTTATCCAGCCATTGCACAACCCAAATGAAGAGATTCATCATGAATGAAAACCCCATATGCTTGAGGCAGACAATATTTTCAGACTTTGGTGTTAAGTGTGCTCAATTTGACATTCTGCATGAATGCTGTGATTTTTGTGCTGAAATATGTGTGTGTGGGAGCAATGAATGCAGTAAGGTGCCAAAAATTAGCCATGATGAAGAGGAAGTTGTCTCGGATACTTCATGTGATTCTGCTTTTACAAGATCTGTAACATCCGAACAGAAGAGTAAATTGAAAGCCCTTTTGATGTCATATAAGAAATAATTGATTGAGAGTGAGATCCACAATATGACTGCAACTGTTGGTGTTCCAAATGTCTTTTTGGAATTTGGTGGGTTTCAAATCAAGCAAGTTCTTCAATCATGTCATAAACTTTTTACACTTGAAGATGTAGTGACAAATGTGGAGATCTGGAGAAACCAGCATGCAGTTGGTGTTTTATCTGTCATTGCCCAAGTTTTTGGTGACACTGAAGTTGACACTGGTCTTTCCACATTTATAGAGGATGAAATGGATTTTGAAATGGAATGGGAAGAAGTGACAGACGACCCTAGTTTTCAGAGTATGATGGACAGCCAAGATTGGGGATATTGTGAAACTGACAGTTCAATGGAGTCGAATGCACCTATCGATAATAGTGGGTTTTTTGAGAATTTTGCAATGACAGACAATGAATAAAAACACAGTTGGCAGGTAATACACCCTTTCAATTATTTAACAGGGGCGGATTTAGGGGTGATCAGAGCGATCACGCGACTAAGGTAAAAATTGGCCAGAAAAATAGAAAATTGTTAAATTAAAATAGCAGTCCAGTTATCAAACTTCGCGCAGTGTAATGTATTGAAAGTTCAGCAGTCCAGTTTTGAAATATCATTCAGTAGCAAGGCCTTCGAACATGAATGCGCAGAAAAGCGGTCTTACGCATGAGTTTTGCACGCTCTGAGTCAGATTCCAGCCATCTGATTGGCTGTCTTGATTTTTGCGCGATCTGTGGGGAGTTCTGATCGCTAAAGCGATCGGGGGCTCGAATAAAAGCTATCCGATTGGCTAATTCAAAACAATCCTGAATTCCCATTGGCTGTATTTTTTTGATCGATCATACCGTTCAGGCTTTATTAGTGCACGGAAAGTCTATGACGTTCTGGCCCTTTCTGATCGCTACTAGTAGGTTTACCTATGGCGCCGGAAGTAATTAGTATGCAGAGGACGTCAGCAACTATTTTGTCGCATAACATGTATCGCGCGACATGAATTGTTGCATAACATGTGTCGCGCGATATGAATTATTGCATAACATTTGTAGCGCGACATGACGTCAGCAATTATTTTTGTCACATAACATTTGTCGAGCGATGTTTTGTATAAAACATTGGTTTTCGAATAAGAAAGGGTATAGTGTTCATAGTTCTGAGATAACACTGTTGATATGCATACGAAAATTAAGGATTGTCAAACGATAGCAGAGTTAACGGCCTTGGATAGGTTGAATACGTTGAGTGAAGAGCAACAACGGCTTGTGTTTGAGAAGAAAATGGAAATTTTTCAGCGTATAAGGGAATGGCGAATAGAAAACGAGCGATTGGGGCTTGTGGCTGATCTTTCGGATACCTGGACCCCAGAACAACGAGAGAGATTTCTGTATGATTGGAAAAACGACAAGCCTTTGTTGCAGGTTGGTTGTGGACAGAAAAGATCTCATGATGAAATGAACGATGGCACAATTGATGAGGTTAGCGATAATTATTTTACTGTGACACATGTCACATAGCGTTTGTTCCATAACATTTGTAGCATAACACGTATGATTTGGCAGGTTGAGTTTTTGTATAAAAGGCAAGAAGTAAAATGTTTTATTTTAAAGTTATAGCGATGGAGTGTTTGCACGGAAAAACTGCTTCCAATTCAACTACAGACAAGGGTTCCTTTTGGTTTTGTGGACAGAAGCCCAGCTGTGGATTTCTATGTACAGAAGAGGACGGTTATCTGTTCCAGACAGCTCTGACAGCTTGGAGAGCCACAGGTTTGACGCAACCAATATGTGAGAGTCACCAAAAGCCCGCGAAGTTTCGTGTAGTTAAAGACATGCTGAAAAAGTCTTATGGGCGACCGTATTTTACGTGTGCAAGTCGGGAGAATCCTTGCAATTTGATGAATGCTGTGATTATTGAAGGAGAAATGTCCAGGCTGTGAAGTCGATCATCCGAGTCAGAGGAGACACGACTGTATTATGTTGTCAGACGAGGAGGGATGGTTACTGCATGGTTTGGGAGCAATGGAGCGTGTGATTGAGCGTTGAATTGTGAAGAAACAGTTTCTTGAAGCTATTCGAGTGATGAAATTGGAATATTACGGGCGTGCGAAAGAACATTATGCGAACTTGATAAAAGATCGTGAAGTAACACTTGATTTTTTGGAGTATTTGTGAGGACGTTTTCCTGATTATCAGCCCATTTTGAATTACCTAATGTATTGGAGCGAGGAACATTGTGAATAAGGGCACTTTTACGTGTAGTTTAAAGTTGTAAATTTTCAGAACAATGTAAATGTTTTAGTTCCTTACTTTGCTATAAAAATGTGTTTATATGTGTCTAGTTTTCAGCCGAGAAAACGTTTGGCATTAAATTAAAGAGTGGTTTTAATTCGGAAAGCAGGTAGCATAACACCCAAAACGTAGTAAAAAATTATTGAGCTAAAAGACCTATTACTCGTCAATATCATCAACAGTTTATATGCACAGCAAGAGATTTGTATCTATGTACGTGATAGGCGATTGATGCAATGATTGTGGGACATTACGAATGAGCCTATACGCATGTGAACTGTGCAAATGATTTTAGAGCGCAATAATGTTGCTACGATACTGTTTTGGTAGCATAAATTAGGGGTTCCCCAAGGCTTCCCTCGGGGTACGTATGCGTCTTCGCATTTTGCTCATGCGTCTTCGCATTGACTTCGCATTTTGCTCATGCGTCTTCGCATTTTTTGCATTTTGCTTCGCATTTTTCGCATTTTGCTTCGCATTTTTCGCATTTTGCTTCGCATTTTGGTTTGCATTCTTCGCATTTTGCTTCGCATTCTTCGCATTAAGGCCCGATTGGGGCCGATATAGGGTTTAATCAGACTACCTGCCCATACACCCTGTTAACCCTTAAAGTGGTAATGCACCCGGACGCGCCCTACCCTGTCTAACGCCAGGGGGAGAGTGCTGCCACTTAATTTATTTCTGTCTAAAAAGTCGATGTCAGTTGAAGGTGAGGTGGATGTAAGGTCAAGGTGAGGTGGATGTAAGGTCGATGGGAAGTCGATGTAGGATCGATGTAAACAATTCACGGAAGATGCCATAATGATCATGTTTACGACTCGAAGAACAGATGCACGAATCATGGCCCAAAAAGGCCAAACGGGCTGCATAAAGGCCATACGGGCCAAAAAGGCGACTGGAACATCTCAGCCTAGGTAGTTGTTAGTCCTTCATAATAAAAGTACTTAAGACGAAATGCGCATGCGTACTCTCAATGACGTTCAAACTACTTCACCTAATTACTTCACCTGTATTGTCCCACAAGCAAACCGGGCATATATCCACTATATAAGTAACCACTCTGAGAGCTATCAGTTTTCATTTCTTAAGAGCGAACTATGGCTTCTTACCAGTGTGATCGATGTCTGAAACGGTTTTCGTCCTATTATAATGTCAGGCGGCATAAGGCGAACCATTGTGCTGCAAAGATTGACGATAATGCCTCGATGGATGTAGTAGGAAGTAGCTACTCAGATGAACAAAGTGTGGACTCTTTTCCAGATGAAGAAAGTGTTACGGAAACTGAGGAAGATGTAAACAGCGAGAATTCCGGAGATGATGGTGAAATAAAGGAAGAGATTGATCCTTGGGCAACCATGATTGACGATGCAAAGGCGACCGTTCGACCAGAGTATGATGAATTTATGAAAACGTTGCAAATGGATGGGCAAGAAGAAAGTGCAGCTAAGCAGAAAGCCTTTGAAAACGTTCTCCCTGAACTTCAGAAAGAATTCGCTGACGTTTACGTGGATAATTTACGATGGATGAATGCACTTAAAAATGATCCTGTGCATAGAAAGATTATGGAAACGAAGGAGACATTAGCGAACGAAAACTCGTTTGATCCTGATGAAGCTTTATCTGCAGCGGTTGACAAAAGAAAGTTTCTGTTGAAACAGCTTTTAGAAGATCAAGGACGTTTTTCAGATGGTGATGAATCGATGTAATGTTCATGTGAAATAAATATTTATTAAAACTGTATTGTGCCTTGTTTCATTGCAACAATAAGTCCTTGTAGAAAAATGGACATTAGAATTTAGCCGTACCTTCTACGGGGCCATCGGGCCTAATCGGGCCAAAAAGTGCCATTTCGGGCCTAGTCGGGCCTTAATGCGAATAATGCAAAGCAAAATGCGAAAAATGCGAAGACGCATGAGCAAAATGCGAACTCAATGCGAAGACGCATACGTACCCCGAGGGAAGCCTTGGGGAACCCCTAATTTATGCAAGCAAAACAGTATCGTAGCAACATTATTGCGCTCTAAAATCATTTGCACAGTTCACATGCGTATAGGCTCATTCGTAATGTCCCACAATCATTGCATCAATCACCTATCACGTACATAGATACAAATCTCTTGCTGTGCATATAAACTGTTGATGATATTGACGAGTAATAGGTCTTTTACCTCAATAAATTTTTACTACGTTCTTGGTGTTATGCTACCTGCTTTCCGAATTAAAACCACTCTTTAATTTAATGCCAAACGTTTTCTCGGCTGAAAACTAGGCACATATAAACACATTTTTATAGCAAAGTAAGGAACTAAGACATTTATATTGTTCTGACAATTTACAACTTTAAACTACACGTAAAAGTGCCCTTATGCACAATGTTCCTCGCTCCAATACATTAGGTAGTTCAAAATGGGCTGATAATCAGGAAAACTTCCTCTCAAATCCTCCAAAAAATCAAGTGTTACTTCACGATCTTTTATCAAGTTCGCATAATATTCTTTCGCACGCCCGTAATATTCCAATTTCATCACTCGAATAGCTTCAAGAAACTGTTTCTTCACAATTCCACGCTCAATCACACGCTCCACTGCTCCCAAACCATGCAGTAACCATCCCTCCTCGTCTGACAACATAATACAGTCGTGTCTCCTCTGACTCGGATGATCGACTTCACAGCCTGGACATTTCTCCTTCAATAATCTCCGAATTTCACAAACAACCGCTTCGAAAAACACAGCATTCATCAAATTGCAAGGATTCTCCCGACTTGCACACGTAAAATACGGTCGCCCATAAGACTTTTTCAGCATGTCTTTAACTACACGAAACTTCGCGGGCTTTCGGTGACTCTCACATATTGGTTGCGTCAAACCTGTGGCTCTCCAAGCTGTCAGAGCTGTCTGGAACAGATAACCGTCCTCTTCTGTACATAGAAATCAACAGCTGGGCTTCTGTCCACAAAACCAAAAGGAACCCTTGTCTGTAGTTGAATTGGAAGCAGTTTTTCCGTGCAAACACTCCATCGCTATAACTTTAAAATAAAACATTTTACTTCTTGCTTTTTATACAAAAACTCAACCTGCCAAATCATACGTGTTATGCTACAAATGTTATGGAACAAACGCTATGTGACATGTGTCACAGTAAAATAATTATCGCTAACCTCATCAATTGCGCCATCGTTCATTTCATCATGAGATTTTTTCTGTCCACAACCAACCTGCAACAAAGGCTCGTCGTTTTTCCAATCATACAGAAATCTCTCTCGTTGTTCTGGGGTCCAGGTATCCGAAAGATCAGCCACAAGCCCCAATCGCTCGTTTTCTATTCGCCATTCCCTTATACACTGAAAAATTTCCATTTTCTTCTCAAACACAAGCCGTTGTTCCTCTTCACTCAACGTATTCAACCTCTCCAAGGCCGTTAACTCCGCTATCGTTTGACAATCCTTAATTTTCGTATCCATATCAACAGTGTTATCTCAGAACTATGAACATTATACCCTTTCTTATTCGAAAACCAATGTTTTATACAAAACATCGCTCGACAAATGTTATGTAACAAAAATAATTGCTGACGTCATGTCGCGCTACAAATGTTATGCAATAATTCATATCGCGCGACACATGTTATGCGACAATTCATGTCGCGCGATACATGTTATGCGACAAAATAGTTGCTGACGTCCTCTGCACACTAATTACTTCCGGCGCCATTTGTATAGGTAAACCTACTGCTACTTTGTGCTTGACCGCAAATTATTAAAGTTCAATGGGAAGATTTACTATCAGAAACTCTGAACTAATACTAGCCATGTCTGTTAGTATTTACGAAACCGTAAAGGCTGCTTTAGAGAATGACGATTGACAAAATGTCAAAGATATTGAAGCTGATTTAAACAAACGAGTAACGGTGTACCGAAGCTTTCTATTAAAGATTTATTGAGCGTTGTGAATAACATAGACAGCCTTCCTCGCACAAAATTTTGGTGCTGAATCTTATATCCTGAAGTACGTTCGAGAGAAGACAACAATCTTTTGTACGGCCTTAAGATATATATATATATATATATATTCTATTTTAAATAGATGTAGCATTATAACTGTTGTATACTGTGGTGGATTGTGCGTCCATGCTATATTAATATCGGTGGGTACACGTATAAGACGTATAATAATACGAGACGAAATTTACATAATATTTCCGCAATTTACATAAATACTGCGGCTTAATACAGGCAGTTTCAGTGTGTTTATACTTTGTGTATGCTTCTTGTGACACGTGGACTTTATATATTAATCAGATAGCTACTTTATAACACTGTATTATTTATACCTATTTTAAACTACAAGAACACGACAATGTAGCATGGCCTTGTGTAATACGATCTCCACAACATATATACAACAAGTAAAATGGATCATGTTGCCATTGTGAACAGTTATTCATGGCGTATGTATTGTTTCTGCTACGAATGAAACTCTCGATGAGCAGTGAATTAAATGTGGAAATTCTCTTCCTGCTTAACAATCAATCGAATGTTTTAAACTGCATCACTATATTGCAAAATTTTTTGACAATATTTAAAACGTCAAGTCATCCTTGTCAATCTATTTCTCGATGAGAATTGGATATCTGTTTGACATTTGGCGAAAAAGCAATTTTTTAAGTTACATTTTTTCGTAAACAGAACACATAAAAAATATTAATTTGCTTGGCAACCCTCCCCCCCCCCGGCCCCCCGTCAAAGTACCCCCTCCCCCAGTCAAAAGTAGCCCTCTCCCCCAATGTTCAGCAACGAAATTTTTGACTAACATACGAAAAATCCTAGATCCGCCCCAACGTCGTACCCAGGGTCCTGTAGTGGGACCCTGACAAACTCTGATTGCGTGACATCACAAATCTTGAAGATTACATAATTTGTAACTTTATGATCCGGGGGGCGATGGCCACTTTCACTGTGATGGACTGTGCAAGCAAACTTCGCGAAGGGTGAATGCAAATAAATTCATAATATGAAATAAAAGATACATAAACACAAAGATTCTTCTTACAATTTCATTAACCTACTGGCGGCGGCAATCTACATAATTTCGCTAATCTTGTCTATTGAAGGGATTCGAAGAACGGAAGAAGTATGAAAATTGACAATTTATTAAAAAGATGAATCACAATCAAAGATTGGCTATTTATGATAGATCCTAAAAGTCCATTTAATATTGACAGGAATGCTTTGATACATGAATTATAACCTATAATGGACTCATTATTGGATAAAAAAGACAACAACTTCAATTATTTTAAAGAACCTGACTGGCAAGGCTATGCATTAAGTATATAAATTGTATGTATATTTTATTATTAAAATGCAGTTCTTAAATTTTTAAATTGATTTTGTCTGTCCTTATTTTTTTACCAACATCATTGATGCTGATTTTTGAAAATACCACTTCTAAAGCACATGTCTATGTTATTATATTGTGGAATTTTTCAATTTGACATGCATATAGAAATTTTAAATATATAATTCATATAATTATGATGTACAGTAATGTGTAAACAAAATCCTCATATAGTTTATACTTGTATTAATAGGGATTGTCGACAAATAAATTGTCCTTCAATTGCAGACTTGTTCTGCGATTGTTTCAACCCCCTTTCCCATCACGGATGAGTGGAGGTCTATATGTTCATTGTAGTTAAATTTTATAATAGATATTAATAGTACAATCTTATCTACAAACATGCATGCTTTGCCGTTCAGTGGCTGTGATCAATGCAGCTTATTGGTATGATATAACACCCTTTCCCACTTTTATTGGACAAGTTCGCAAATGAAGAACAAAATCTGTTTATTCTCAGCCCCCCCCAAAAAAAAGTTTGCGATCTTTATTCAATATGAAGAATCCAGCTCAAAATGTGACAAGGAAAAGCTTGGGCATGTTTGTCTTATACTATACATAGGCCTACTGGCAATAGATCACACAAAAATAGAAACTATAATATATAACTAACATAACAAATTGTAATTGAATTGTACCTATTTCTCACAAAGGTCAGTTACTGAATTATCTTAAAAAAGTACTGGTAGGATGCATGCTGCATACCCTAAATTTCAAAGCTCACAAACATATATTTAGCTGAAAAAAACTAACATTTGAAACAACTAACTCAATGCAAACTGTGATTGCCAGGTTACCAAATAATCAAAAATCCTGGACCTGGCCTTTTTTGGCAATGGCATACTGGGGGGGGGGGACTTAAAATCAGAAATATTTTACAAATATAAGTTTTATCAAAGTCAGCTGTTTAAAAGGATTTTTATTGGCTGGCGTTTAAATTTTAACCCATTGAGTCGCATTGTACCCTACTTTATTATTTTACTCTGTTCAACACCAGATGATTTTACTCATCAAGGGGAGATCATGCTGGGGCTTAATGGTTAACTGGCCTAACTGCCCATGTGTCCAGTTAACCCACTGAGTCGCATTGCGCCCTACCTTACTATTTACTCTGTCTAATGCCAGATGATTCAACACCAGATGATTTTACTCGTCAAGGGGAGAGCACTGCTGCATAAGGGGTTAACCAATATGTTTGATCTTGGTACATGATTCATTAAATTTTGATATCACAAGTGTTATTTTGAAGTGGAAAGTCATTCAATTACTGGTTAATATCGAATAATTTGAACTCATGATCCGCCACGGAAATGTAGAAGTAATATTTCAAATCCGGGTTAGTGTTTCAGACGTGGTTTCTAAATACAAGTGCCATGAACAATGGCGAGGCGCAGCCGAGCCATTGTTCATGGCACTGGGGATTTGGAAGCCAAGTTTAAAACACTAACGAGGATTTGAAATTGCTTCTCACACATCATTAGACTTTCATAGCAATGAGGCATGAAATTATTAGATATTCAAAAAATTGAGCGTGGGCATTAACGATTACATTCGCTTGAAAGTTTGCATGAAGTGCAACGAAGCATTCAGTTCGCTTTCGTCGTGAATAGATGAATTTTGTTGGCAAAAGAGCATGGTATCTTCTTATAAAATAAGAAAAAGCGGTTTCGAGAACCAGAAAGTGTTGAGCACAGCATTGTGCACAGTATTGTCGCTCGGCTGACAAGGTTGGGGATCCGAAAAACGATATATCAGATTGTGTGTGCGATAAGGCGCTATCTGGTGGAAAATGAAAGAGCCGAAGTGAATATAAACATTACTGGTAAGTTGCTGTATTATAGTGTTTAAACGCTGTTTATTATGATAGTTGGTAAAAAAGTTGGTTTTCCTATATTTATGTAGTTTTCAAACGTTTAGGAAAAGTGTTAGCTATAAAGTGTAGTTAGAATAAATTTCTAAATACAACTTACTGTATTTAGAAATAATTCTAAACATAGCAATTAAATATATTTGCATAATCTTTTGTTTACACCTCAGTTTCCCTATTGTTCAAAGCCCTTCCCACTTGAAGTAATTAAAGTCCTGGTCTAGACGGGGTATCCAGATAGATACACGTGATGTAAATTAAACCATGTCATTGGCCGAAATGCTATGAATATCTAATGATGTATGAGAAATCTATATACTATACTGCAAAGCTCTGGATAAAAAAAAAACACTATCAGGTAGTGTAATACTACCATTATGTAACAAATATATTCTCATACTGCATATAATGTTTACTCAAACTTAAATATTATTTACTGTATTAATATAAGGCCATATAAAATAAATTCCTTGATTCTCATCACTACACTTTGAAAATGTCGAAGAGGCGGGAGGTTTATATTTTATATTTTATATTTATATAAATATATAAATTGAAATAAACATATTGAAATAAACATATTTCTCCACGAACAATGACTGAACATTTGAACTGAATGCGAAGTTCCGTTAAAATACAATGAAATTTCTTTGAAGGTTCTA